GAGGGGCCATGCCGGCCCCCGGCGCGGCGCCAGCGGCGCGTTACGGGATGCACGTGAGGGTACGCAGGCCGTCCGCAACGGCGCGGTCGTCTTCAGGTAAAACCAGCTCTTAAAAGCCCGCCCTTGCTTCGAGATCCTTGTTGCGTTAGTGAAATCCCAACTTCATCTGTTGATTTTTTTTTTTTTTAAATTTTTTCTTCTCTGTGTGGAGGCCTTGTTCCAGCAAAAGTGCAAAAAAAAGTGAGTCTCGCCTGCAAGCACGTGCCTACGTGAAAACAACACAGATCTGAAAAGATGTTTTTCTCAACATTTCTAGTGTAGTAATTCTGTAGAGCACAATATGAGGAACTAAAGCTGTGAACGGTGTTTTCTTGAACTTAAGAGATACAGCAGTGTAAAATGCCTAGCGCACAGGCAGGCTTTGTGTAAGTGTCGTTATCTGTATGCTTTTGTTGAAGGCACAAATAAAATTTGCTCTTAAATCGATATATTTTGGAAGAGCATACCATCCCTAAGATGGCAAACACTGAAGCACTACATTATCTAAAGAGAACTGCACATAAAACTGGTGTTTTCAAACCAAGTCAGTTGCAAAGCTGACAAATCAAAAACTTGAACTTCAGAGACTTTAATTTTGAAATAAACAAATATATTCTGAAATAGCTGTTTTCACAAATGAATTACTTTTTCCCATATAGCTTATTTTTTTTTAAAAAAAAGTCTGATGTGGGGCTGTGGCATGGTTGCCTGGCCTTGTGGGTTATAGAACACAGTGACTCAGTTTGTCCTTTACAACGTTGTTCTTGAAACTTGAAGGGCATCTAGGTGAGTATGTTTAATGCGAAGAAGTTTTGGTGGAGAGAGGCAGGCAGATGGTGAGTTTTTGTGTGCACGTGTTTTAATGTATTTGTTACTTCTTTTGATTCAGCTGGGTAAAAGATCAAGAAAAGGGAAAAATTATTATGTTATCTCAGGCTTGAATTTCATGGCCAGTTCTGCCGTTTCTAGCAGCTTGTTGCTCATGCTGAAGGAAGCTTTTCTTCTTTCTTTTTTTCTTCCCTTTCCTGTTGATGACTGTGCTGTCTGGGGCCCTTCCTATGCATTGACTCTGGCACTTGAACACTTCTCTAAGTTGATTTTAACTCACCAAAATGGCAGGAAGCTATTTTTCGTTGTATTTACTTTCTACTGTTTTAGTAAATAAAACTGAATTCAGTTGTCTCGGAGGACCTTGATGAAAAGAGAAGCCCAGGACAGGGTAAGCACAAAGAACAGTTTCTCAGAGCAAGAGGGTAAAATAGGAATATTCTTTCAGTGGTACCGAGCTATTAAATGATCTTGCTATGTATGCGAATGTATTTTAGATGTTTTTGTTACGGCTGGTAAATTAGAGTGTGGCTGTTGTGCTTTTCATAGTGGTACAAGTCCAGAAAGAAAGACCATAACACACTTAGTTGGCCCCTTGTTAATGTCAGTTTTCTGTACTTGGAGCTTCTGATTCTTATTTTGCTGGTTTACTCATTCTAGGATGGTTCTTTGTATTCATTATGCCACAGAGTTGCCACAATGCCTGTGGATGAGATAAAATATTTCTAGTGTGTTCTTGTGAAAAATTTATTAGTACAACTATTTTCTTGGAGGACTTGGGAAGTTGTTGGAGCAGGTCTAAGACATCTTGGAAGACTACATTGTATTTGCAGTGAAATTGGGAGCTCTAGTGTGGTTTTCATATCACTGTTCCTTGTTCTGTGCAGATGCAGAGCATAAAAATGGTTCTGTCCCAGAACTGACTATCACTTTTACAATGCCTGTAAAGGCACTGCACGAAGATGTACTCTGAAATCTATGGTCATACCTTCTTGTCTCCTAGGTAGCAGGCCTGCTAGTGACTTCAGTCACTTGTTTTAATAGCTGACTATGGCATCTGGAATGAGGTGCTTGTTTAGGTACAATCAGCCGAGTAACTGTGTCGAGAATTAAGTGTATGGCTCTACTTCTTCTAAATACCACCCTTCAAAGTATTTTACATTGGGTTTAGAGGTTGTTGAAAGGACTCTTGTGCTCAGTGTAAGGGTATGGGATTTTCTTTCCAGGAGACAGGTTCACTTTTATCAACAGTAGTATTATGGTTTCAAAAACAACTGTTTGAAGAGACTAAATTAAAATTAAAGTACATCCAGGGCCTGCATGTGTGTAATTGCTAACGTAGCTGCACTGGCAACTGTGATAGTTTCATGAGGGCACTGCTAGTACAGAGGGTTCAGATGCAATTAATACAAAACATGTGTACATGACAGGCAAAGTATGTGCTTGTTCTTCTACTGTTAAATTTGAAGTGGCCCTTATTTACCTCTGGTAAAATGGTACTTTAGATAAAAACAAATGTATTGGTGAGACTTTTGCAATTAAACCTACATCTCGTTTTCAGTGGCTTATAGAGCAAAGTCTGTTTACCTGCTATCACATAAATCATAGTCCAGGCAGTAAAACAAAGCGAGAATTGTTTTGAGGCTCAGGAGTAGTTGCCAGAAAAACAGTGCTTTTGTGGGTTTTTTTGATTGACATTGTTTCCTCTTAGTAAGCAGCTAGCCTTGTTGCCCTTTAAAAGTATACATTGTATTTTTGTCAATTCCACAGGTAATGGAAAGTTAAAGGAAAACGTTTCTTGTTCTGATTAAGGGGCTTCCTACCACTGCAGAATCCAACCAAATTAGGGAATTTAATTACCAGAATGTAATTTATTATTGGATATAGGAATGGCAAATTAATACAGCAAATTATTTTAGATAACCATTTTATCAAAACAAATACCATACCAAAATACACTATGTATCTCTTATATTACCACCACTTCCACGCAATCTACCAGTGTATGCAGTACAGCAAAAAAATATGATGTCTGCACTGCATGATTCTGCTGTCATTTACTCATTTCATTAGCAGATTTTGATCACTTCCTGTTCTTCCTATTGGAGGTAGATGATTTATTTGGAATATATAATTCACAGAGGTAAGATTTCTAAGTCTTGGAATTATTTTTAAGGCATGTTCCCTATGCTAAAGGGATCCTATTTTCCTGCTTCTTCAATTCTATTGTGCATCTTATTACGACTTCAGGACAGAATTGCAGCTTCTTACCAAATTTTCTCAACTGATTTCAATGTGGTCTGCCTGTCACTTACCATTGCTGTTCTGCCTGCCGTGGGGTCACCCAATTCCTAGCTCTGAACTGTTAATGCCTGGTAATTGTAATTGTGTGGATTCTTCGTGCTCCCTTTTTCTGTTCCTCCCCGCAAACAACAGTGTGTATAGTGACGCCACTGCTGACTGCTTGGTATGTGGCAATTACAGTGCAACAACAACTAGAGAAGTGAGAAGTTTTCAGTGCGGGGATTCTTGGGGTTAAGCTGTTACTGTTGATCAGCTGATAACTGTGAGCTGAAGTCCTCAGATCAATACTGCCTAATACCTCCATATCGCCAGTATGTATATAGCCACTTGTTTTAAAAAACTGGAATTTTCTTATCTTCTGTTCACCAGGCCCACTTTTTTTCTTTTTCTAAATATCGTAACTGAAAAGGTGTTTTAGTCTAGAGCCTTTGCAGGCCTTGTGGGATGAGGAATAGCAGAATTGGTAGCTGCAGCTATTGGTGCCTTTTTAGCTGCTCAGGCCTTCAATAACGTGACGTCTAGCTAGAGCACTCTTTTTTTTTTTTTTTTTTTTTTTTAAATGCTGGGTGCACTTTTGGACCTTGTAGTGGTTGGCAGCATGCCAATAATGTGCTCTGATGAGGAAAGAGGGGTCAGTAAAATGAGTTCTTTGGCCTGCCCCATCAGTAGATCATATGCTTTACAGACCTGCTTTAAAGCATCACTGACAGGTGATCTCTTGTTGTGGTAAACAATCATACAATGTCTAAGCTATTTCAAACACAAGAACAGCTGAGATCTGATTTTCCAGTTCATAAAGTTTGTACCATTAACAAAGGAGATCTTAATAGCACTGAAGAGCAAATTACACCTTGATCTACTGGTTTCTTACCGTTCTTTCAATCTTACTGTTACTAAAATGGCTTACTGTGTTTGGCTGATGAAGATGCAGTACTCTACAGCAGCTTATTAAGAATTCAAATAAATTTTTTATTTCTACTGTACTCCTCACGCATTTGGAAGATGTTCTCTGTGAATATGCCCGAAATCGCTTCTTGTTTTTCATATCCTTTTGTAAATATTCTTGTGAAATGCAGCAAACATTGGTGGGGTTTTGTGTGCTGAAGCAACGTAGTGCTGGACCAGTCTGTGCTTTCAAAATTTTTCTTGTTCCTTCTCTGCCTGCCTCCCTTGGTCTCTTTTATCTCTAGGGATAGATTGGTCTTTATTCTGGACTTGGATAATGAATAATGCCTAGCATATGTAGGCACTGCCAACAGTATGAGGTTTTGCAGATCAGGTGAAACTGAAGCAAAACCAGCTTTAAAGAGTCTTTCTGAATGTTGTCTTTCAATAGCATTTCCATGCACGAAGTTTTTTGAGATTAATAGACTTAAGTAAATGTTTTCTTTTGTTTGGAGAAAACAGGTGAGTGTGTAAAACATAATCTGCTCATTCTGTCATATTCTGCCTCAAACCATACTCTTGATCTTGTTCTGAATCAACAATTCTTGTACTACACATTCAAAAATTTCTGAAGTCTAGCCAAAGCTTCAGAAACTTTTATTAAGTGTGTAACATGATGGCTCGTTGAACCAGGTTTAGATCTTACAAACATGAATAGATTGTCAAGGAAGAAAATTGCTAGCTGCTGGAGGTTGTTTATACTGAAATCCAGGAGTAGGTTATACAGTACAGTTTGTTAGCTGCTAATTCACAAAATCTGGGATGTGAGAGTATGAATTAGTTATCAAAACCTTGATTTTTTTTTTTTTAAAGGGGGATGCTTTGCAATTTGAAGTTCAAAATAGATTTTTGGCAATATGTATTGAAATGAGAAGCAAATAGCCTAGTAATTGCAAAGCTGTGACTACTTAGGGTGCATCATAGGTGTTCAGATATGTCTCTT